GTGCTTCTTGGAGGCAAATATGATGAAGCTTAATCTTTCATACTTTGGACGTGTAGCTAGGCAAAGCAAACCCTTGTAAATGGACATAATGCTTCTCAAAAGCTATTCTTTGTTTATGTAAATTTGTAGCTAACATAATTTCACTGTAGAAATTGGTAAGTTTTATTGTTTTTCTGTAAAGCATTTCTGTGATAACCATAGAATTTCACCTCAGAAAGATCTGACAATAAACTTCCATAAAGATTTAGAATGTTAAATCCTTAGGGGGTAGTTCAACTCTAACCAATTAGGTAGCTAACAGGCCCAATCAACTCATCCTTTGGTATGGTTATATCCTGCCCTGATAGCCTCCATCTGCTCAATAGTGGAAAATCTCCTTATGATTTATTTCTAGAATTTTATCAGGGCATGCATCCTATATAACATAAGCCACTCTTTAGATGACAATACCAAAATACACGTCAAATTTTCTTCTTGCCTTTTCCATCTTTGAAATATTTCATCCCGTTGCTGACAGCTTTAGGGCACAAAGTTACATTATCCCAAGAAAACTATCTTCATTATGAACTCCAGAAAAAATGCAGACTCATTTCCCTCAACTCAGAAAGAACTCATAGCTGACCCAAAGGCTGTAAAATTCAAAGAAGAAGATTACCATTTTTCTCCTGCTGAGCAGTTGGTGGATTCAAATTGCCTTTCTTTCGGTTGAGAGTAAAACTGCATATCCACAAGAACACCAGATCTCCCTGAAATTTATGAATATTAATGAACTAGACTAAAAATATTGACTATTTATATTTAGTATATACTTAGAAATATTGAATAGAATAATTGGCATTTTTTACTTATATTGCACAGTAAAGACTAAGAGTACTGCACCTTCAACAGAGAGAGAAAGCAAAAATACCATAACTCAATATTCTTCCTGCCAGTGGCTATCTTTCTCTATTTTTTGTTTTCCTTACATTGATTTGTGAGTAATGCCTTGCTTTTTTCCTTTGAATGTCACAAATGAGATTATCTGAACCATCTGCAATGTGGGAAGTTGATCTAAATCTGATTGTTGTGACTGTTCTCTGAGAATTGATTTTTAGTTATTTAGGAAAAACACATTTTTTTTATAACACACAAGAAACAAAGGAATGTTTTCCCAGCTTTCCCATATATTTACAATTTTCTGTGACGCTTGTATAAAAAACCAACAAAACATAAAACAATGAAGCAAACAAATAATCCCTTTAAAAAAGGAAAAGAAACAAAATAAGTGAGTGTAATTCTGATTTTGATTCATTGTGGAACTCAAATATCTAGAAAGCCAAAAACTAAGCATAGGGACATAAGGCCATGAGCTTGTCTTTGAAAGATCCAGAGATAGCAATAAGATAGTCTTTCACTGCCCCAGTACCAATAGAAAGACAACAGCCCAGTCCCATGGTGCCTGTAGAGTTGTACCAGCAGCAAGAGGTTCACTTGTGACTCACAGATTCAGAGTTGTAGTACTGAGAATAGGGTTTCTTTAAGGAGTAAGATGAAGAGTGGGGAACAAAGAATATTATTCAATACAAGTTCAGGTTTTCGCCCAAGTTCCAAGGCACAATTCCTCTATTAATTCAGACTCTTTTTTTTTTCAGTTCAGGAGTCAAATAAACTCAAATCATCCAGTAAGGTTTGTCTCAGAACAGTTATAAGTCAGCTTTGCCTTCAACTATCTGACTAAAACTGCAAAAACCTTTAACTGTGGCTAGCACAAATGCCAGAAGCCTCAGGTCACACCTTGCCACAGTTTCTGCACAGCAGTGCCACAATTTCTCCACAACCATCAGCAGGATCTTGCTTTCACCAAGATCTTACTCAAGTCTTCTGCAAGTCTTGCCTCCACAAGTCTTGCTTTTCTTAAGTCTTGCTACTCAATGTGGAAAGCACTCTTTCTCTTCTCTTAGTCCCACAGCTGCTGATAATTTGCAAGACCATGCATTTAAAGTTAAGGTAGCTGTAAACAAGAAAGGGCTAACTGTAATGACCCAATAAAGCCAACTTTTAGGCTAATACCACAGACTCCATGTACTCAACTACCATATCTGATGTGAACGGCTGAAATTGCACCTAGACAATCAAATAATTTACATTAAAAATAGATTATCTATCAGGATAAAATTCTGTAATTATACTTGAAAATTATTTTGTTGTATTATATTAAGGCACTCTGTCCTCCAGATTCTTATTAGGCCTTAGTTAGCATTACATGTATATCATCAGACTGTGCAGAGCTTGTTTTAGAGTGTAATATCAATAACCAAACAGAGAGAAAAAAGATTCTACTCTTGGGTGAACAATTAACTATTTGAAAACATTTATGCTGAAGAGTACAATATTGAGTAGTAGTATTCCAACAGTTTCCAAGTATAAGACTTTACCTTTAGGCTTTTAAACTCATTATAAGTTATAAGTAAAATTAAGATCCAGTTAACTTTGAAAAGAGTAACAAAACAGTAAAATTATTAAACGGTTTAAGCACAGCAGAGATTGTGAGTATGATGCAAGATTGGAACGTGCTTCACTTTCACTTTGTTGTATATAAGGTTGTTGTGAGTTGGAGCACATTCATTGGCACTTAACAGTATATCATCTAAAATCAATTAGTGTTTATAAATTATAAAATAGTAAAATTACTGATAACATAATATGGTTTTCCAAGTGTAATATAAAATACTTTATTTGGCTTTTTTGGCCTAGTCATAAGAAACTGTGCTCTAATCCAAAATCACTTGTTCAGAATCCACCAAATGCTCTGCAGAGGATGAGCAACCTTCTCCTGTGTAATTAACTGCCTCTGAAAACCCAGTGGAGGACCGGCTATGGGTCGGTTCCAACTCAATGATACCTATCAGCAACAGCAACAACTGTCTTTTTTGGGAACCATGATATTTAAGTGAGGTTATAAAGAAAAATTTTTAGAATATTTTAAATATTGTTAAACATAGCAGTAAAAATTCTCTTTTAAAGCACTTAACTGCATTTTCCAAACGTCATTAAGTTGTTGTTGTTGTTATGTGCCGTCGAGTCGCTTGCGACTCATAGCGACCCTATGTACAACAGCCCTAAACTCCGCTCTGTCCTGTGCCAATTGCACTGTCTCTGACACTCCCATCCCAATTATCCCAGTCACTGAATCAATCC